CGGAGCCGGCCGCCGGGCTGGGTGAGTGGGAGCGGGGCGCGGGCGCGGGAGTCCTCCGGGCGCGGCGCGGTCTGGGCGGAGCTCGGCCCCCGCCCCGCGCCTCACCGCGCCCTCGCCCCGCAGGCGCGCGGCTGCAGTGGCCGCTGAGGCTGGGCCCCGCGGCGCCCTTGCCCTTGGCCGCGGCCAGCGGAGGTTCGGGGGCGCTGCCGGGAGCGGGCGGCCCCGGCCCGCAGCGGCGCACACGGCGCCACCGCACCATCTTCAGCGAGGAGCAGCTGCAGGCGCTGGAGGCGCTCTTCGTGCAGAACCAGTACCCCGACGTGGGCACGCGCGAGCGCCTGGCCGGCCGCATCCGCCTGCGCGAGGAGCGCGTGGAGGTGGGTGCCCGCCCGCCGGACCGCCGAGGGCCCGAGCGGGCTGGCTTCCTTCCTCCTTCTTTTCTTAAAAAGACGGCCCTGGCGCGATGGGAGGAGGCGCCAGAGGCCCGGGGACCGCTGTGGGGCGCAGGGCCGGTTCCGGGGGGGGGGGCGGGGACAAGGCACGTGCGGGGAAAGTGTCCCTGGAACTGGAGGGGAGGTAAGGCTAGTTGTCCTTTGGTTTAAACTTTTTTATTTTCCCTGATTAATGAGGCGCGCGTTCATGTGCCAGAATTTGGGAAGCTCGGAAAGGGCATGAAGTTGCAGAAGGGGCGTCCGGGGCACCGCCGGGCGGAGGTGGGGGGTGGGAAGGCGTGCAGAGAGATGGCTAGTCCGGGTGGGAAGGGGGTTCTCGTCCCCGCGGCCCGAGCCGCAGCCCCTACCTGCAGTGGTTAAGAGATGGTGGGTGCCGCTGCCGCTGGCCGGCCCCGCAGCCCTCCTCTGCCCACATCCCCATCGGGAAGCTCCCCGCCTGGTCCACCTATGGGGGTCGGGGTGGGTGGGGGGGACGCGGGGCCTGGGGCTGGGCCTGAGTGGTCCCTCCTGCTCCTCAGGTCTGGTTCAAGAACCGCCGGGCCAAGTGGCGACACCAGAAGCGCACGTCAGCGACCTCGAGGCTCCTCCCCGGAGCCAAGAAGGCCCCAAAGGAGAGCTGTTGATGGCTCTGGTAGCTACTCCTGGACTTGGCCGCGTCTTTGGGGGCCCACTCAGAGAGAGGACAGATCTACCCGAAGTCGAGCTGAGAGGGGACACTAGCCTCTTCCCGTCTGTCTGCAGGACTTCCTGCGTCCTGGAGCTAGTGCTCAAGGCGGGAGCCCGCCGCTGAAGTGTGTGTACCCCCCCAACACCCCCTCCCCGGCCCCATCACCTGCCCCGTGAAAGGAGGGAACACTGAGCATCTCCATGTGCTGGCCTCTCCAATGACTAAGGGTCGGGAAGATTCCCTGGGGGCTGGTGGGGCTGGGAGCAGGGCACAGAGCAGGTCAGCTTCCTCAATTCCCCACCAACTCCAGGACAGGAACCACCCCTTGTCAGGCGGGCCCAGAATCTTCTTCTCCCTCCTGGGGTATGCTGGCGCCCCTCCACTCCTCAGCAGGCACATACTTCCCTTGCCCGGGCCCCAGGAGGTTTCTCTGCATCCTGAGCTTGTCAGCCTGCGAGCCCTGCACTGGGCCTTGGCGTTCAGAGCTATAGCATAAGAACGTTGGGTGAGGTCATCTCCAGAAGCCCCTGCCCCGCTCCTTAATTCTGTGAGCCTTTTCTGGATCCTGGGAAATAAACAAGCAACTGCAAACAGCACAAAAGCAGTCCAGAGTTCCAAGTTCTCTATGGCCCCCACCCAGGGAGTGGGGGCCGTCTTGCCTCGGGGAGCACAGCCCAGTGAGTCCTCAGTCCCTGTGTTCCCCAGCACAGCAGACTACCCCACGGATGATGGCCTAGCACCCTGGGGGTCTGCACCGGCCTCGAGGTACTGCTCATGGGTGGGGGGATTCCATGCTGTGTGTCTGCCTCCCTCTCTGCCGTCTTGTTGGGGTAAGAGGAAGTTTCACCGGGGAGGATGCACCCCCCCCCCCAGGCCACTGCTTTGGAAGATGTGTGTTTTCCGCTCCATCATCCTGGCCCCAGGGTGAAGGACGGTGTGGAAACAAGGCTTTGATTCCCCCAGTAGACCGTATGGTGGGCTCAAGGCATCTAACACCATCATCTGGCTTGGAGACCATGTTCTGCCTCCTCATGGGTCCTGGAGGAGATGGGCTGGGGGTATCTGAAAGGAGACACAGTCCATTCATTAAAGGCGTAGAAGGCAGGGCTACCGCCTCCACGACTCCAAGGCTGCCTAGTTCAGATAACACGGAGCAGGCACGATGTCCCTGCGGCGCTGCTCTCACACCACTGGGTGCCTCCAGGACAGCAACACCCCCCCCTCCACCCCTCAGGATGCACACTCTGGTTGTCACAAAGCTCTTTGCCCTGGGGTGCCTGGGTGGCTCGGTCGGTTAAGCGTCTGCTTTCGGCTCAGGTCATGATCCCAGGGTCCTGGGATCGAGCCCCACGTCGGACTCCTTGCTCAGCAGGGAGCCTGCTTCTCCCTCTGCCTGCGGCTCCCCCTGCTCGTGCTCACTCTCTCTGTCAAATAAATAAATGAATAAATGAAATCTTAAAAAAAAAAAAGAAAAACTTTTTGCCCTGACTCCTGGCCTTATCCTTGGATACCGCACAGTCTGCGCGCAGAGCTACCCTGCAGGCTGGGATGCCCTCATCTCGCTGGGCTCTGGGACCCTAGCTGCCCGGTGGCTCTCTGTCATTGTATTGGGCAGCCATGATCAGAGCTCCACCCTCAAGGGACCAGTGGGCATACTGTCCTCCTTTCTCTCCTTTCTCTCCAGCTGCTCTTTGGCAGGCTCACCCCCTACAAGCTGCCCATTAACATAGCTGTCCTGCAGGCTGGGCCCCAGGCATGCTCCTCTCCTCTCCATTCTCTCCTTGCTTGATCACTTCCACCTTCAGGCCCCAATTCCTATTTCTCTGCCACATTTACATCTCCAGCCTGGACCTCTTCCTGAGTTAGATATTGATGTCCAACTGTCCCCTTGACTACTCCACCTGGAAGCCCACAGCATCTCAAAATCACCTCGTCGGCAGCAACTTATCCCCTGTGCAAACCAGGTGCATGAGCCAGAGGACTGGCAATTACCCCCCCCCCCCCTCCCCCACCCACCATACTCAGGCCAGCAGCAAATCAAATTTTTTTGTGTGTTATTTAAATTCAAGTTAGTTCACATATAGCAAATCAATTTTGCCTCCAAAAACAATCCCAGAAGCTATCTTCTGCCCAGGTTCAACTGTAGCAACCTGATGAAAATGCTGTCATCCCTCACCTTGACCACTGCAGCTGCCTCCAGTCTTGTCCACCTGCAGCCACTCTGGTTCCTCTAATTCCTTCCCCATAAAAGGCAGAGTGCAAGTGTGAACCTACCTCTTCCCTGTCTACAGTGCTCTAAGGGCTTCCCGTTGTTCCAAAAGACAAAACTCACTGTGACGCATGAGGCCCCACACAGCCGGCCCCTGCCCCTCTGGCGTCTTCAACCTCACCGCTCCTTGAACTCTATATATCCAAAGGTCTTCTCCCTCCTGCTGCGAGACCTTTGCACCTGCTCTTTCCCTCCACCTGATCAGTGTCCATTCTCTGGGTCTGCAAGCACTTCCTGACCCCAGGGAAACTTCCCCTGACTGCCCCCTAGTACAAACTCTTTCTTTGCACTTGTTCACTGCAGGTTTATGCTTGTTTGTGGGATGATCTGACTAGCTTCTGTCTTCCCCATCTGTCAGCTCCACAGGGCAGGAACCATCATCATGGAGTTCCCCACTGAGTGAAGGAATGACTGCCTATTATACTAAATTGTTCTGGGGCAGAACTCGTTTGACATAATTCACAACCTCCTTTAGGGAAGAAATGATCATTCCTGAAAAATGGTTGGACAATTTTCTGGTCTATTTCAATGCGACTGAGCCCTCTTCTGTGGAGTTCAGGGACCGAATTTTTTTTTTTTTAATCAAACCATTTTATTGAGGGGCTTCGGGGAAGGTCGAAGGGGAGGAGGACAGGGGGGGAGATCCGACGTCCTCGGCCCGGCCGTAATCTTTCCGGCCTCACAGTCGTCGAAAGGGACCGAATAATTTTTAACCAGACATTTCTTCACTGGACCGCGTATTTTTTTTCTTTTGTTAGGTAACTATCAAGAAGAAATTGTCTTAGGGCTCTTTTCTTGCAGAAAAGTTTGAATGAAAATATTGAAACCGCTTATATAGCCAAAATGTGTTTTTGTTAGTAATACAGAAGCACACGCAATGATTTGCGAGAAACTGGAATCCCAAGACCTTTCAATTTCGCAGTTCTAAAAATTTTCACGATTAGCGTGACCGACACGCCCCTTAGTCTCTCCCACCACAGCGCCCCCTGGTGCCAGTAGTCCAGATTCGCAGGACCAGAGCGGGGCGGAGCGAAGACTACAACTCCCATAAGGGCCAGGGCTTTTGGTGACGTCACTACGGGGGCGCGGGCTGGCCTCGAAACGCACAGCTCTCCCATTGGTGGACTGTTGCAAGCGCCTGCGCATTTGGCACAGTCCCGCTCCCCCGACTCCCGGCGCTGTTACGTACCTGCGCCGCCCGAGCGGTTCTGGGATAGCGATGGAGACGCCCGGAGCATCAACCCGGGCCCTGTTGCTTCCTGCCGCGTCCGGGCCCCGGAGGAAGCGCGCGGCAGGGGAGGCCCGGGCTGCGACGAGCAAGCAACGGGTCCTGGACGAAGAAGAGTACATCGAGGTAAGACCTCGATGCGACGCTAGCGAATTCTGGGTCCCTTCTCCACCTTGCGCTCTTCTCGGGTCTCTCCTCTCGGGTCGTGGCAGGCTCGTAGCGTCGCGGAGGTGGAGCATCCCGAGGCTGTGCTCTTGGGGTGTGGACAGTCGGGGAGCCAAACAAGTACTGTGCAGAGAGAGGTGTCCTTGATGGGGGAGGCAGCAGCAGTGCTGTTAGGGGAGAGAGGGGGCTGCTTTGTATGTCGGGGCGGGGCGCGTCAGGGAAACAAAGTATTTTATTAAAGCGTGAAGAGGCCTGTGGGAGGATGGTGGCAAAGAGGGCTTTCTAGAGAGTTGTAACAGCAAATGCAGAGGCTGGAGGTCTTGGAAATAGTCTGTGGTTGTGTCAGCACCGTTGAGTTAGTGTGCGTCAGAGGCTCCTTTCAAGCAGGTCTTAATACTACAGCAGACATGCCGGAAGAGGAGCTGGCAGGGAGATTGGAGAAAATCAATTTGGTTTTGGACTGGTAAAGTTTGGGAGGCCTCGGATAGAGAGGCAGCTGGCATTAGTGGATAGCTGGGTGCACAGGTGTGCAGCTTAGGAGCAAGGTCTGGCTGGAGGTACAGACTTGGGAATCTCAGCCAGTGCTGCTGGTGGGGGTGACAGGCTGAAGTCATCCAGGTAAAGGGTTCCAATTGGAAATAGGAGACCCTGGATAGCATGAAGGGGCAACACCCACCTTGGTCCAGCTGGTGTGGAGATGGAGCCAGCAAAGATGAGAGGGACCAGTTAGTGAGGGGAAGGAGAACACTTTCATGGAAACCAGGTGAGCGTTTAGTAATGTTAGATGTTGCAGCAAGATCACAGGGCGTGCTCATCCTCATTAGAAAGTGCAGCTAAGCTCAGGATCATTGGGTTGGACAGAGGTTGGGGGCATTGGCGAGGATCTTAGCATGTACATTGGTAGACTGAGAGCAGAGGCAGATGTGAACTCTGACTTTTATTCTGATTTCTGATAGGGCCTCCAGACAGTCATCCAGAGGGACTTCTTTCCTGATGTGGAGAAGCTGCAGGCTCAGAAGGAGTACCTGGAGGCTGAGGAGAATGGAGACCTGGAACGGATGCGTCAGATCGCCATCAAGTTTGGCTCTGCCTTGGGCAAGATGTCCCGAGAACCCCCACCACCCTGTAAGAGCGACAGTGGTGGACCGAGAGGGGAACTCCTGCTGAACCGATGCCTTAGGCTGGCTCTAATCCCCACCCCCTTCCTCATTTTAGATGTGACTCCAGCCACATTTGAAACCCCTGATGTGCACACAGGCACCGGAGTTGTGGGCAACAAGCCCCGGGGCCGGGG